CTGAAAGAAAGAGAGATCGGCTAACAAATAAAAGTGTAGTCTGCACAAAATTGTATGTTATTTTATTCGTCTTGCCAAGAGTCTTGAATTTATTGACTTTGACTTGAATTTATATGGATTATCTCAAGACACAAAATTCGTTTAATATTTTATGCAAAACAGTAGGAAAAAAAGTGTCAAGAAAAACTAAAAATGTACAAAAATTGTAATTCTTGTTTTTATTCATCTTGTCCGGATACAATTCGTTTAACATTTACAACACAGTAGGAAAAAGTGTCGCAGAGAGAAAAAAATTTAAATGTATGTTGTACAAAAATAGCCTATTAGCTATTTTTATTTGTCTTGTCAAAATACTAAATTCGTTTGACATTTTTCTGTTAACACAGTAGGAAAAGTGTCGCAGAGAAAAATAAATAAATATGACACCTGTTGTTTCAAATTATAGGCTAAGCAAAATATAAACAAAATCGAGTTGAATGTCCTTCAAGGACAGCACATCCACACTTTGCTCCATCCTTATTCTGCTCTGTCACTCATCAACAACCTGCCTGATCTGTCTGAGGGCCGTATATTTACCACCGGTACAGCCTGCTCTGAGCATCGTTATGCACATGCTGCGCACAGACCCCGCAAATAAAACGCGTGACACAGAAAGCATGCGTGAGTGCAGGCTGTACTGGTGGTCAATAAAAATAAAGCGCAGATATACTGTTCTGAATGGACGTCGGGAACGGGATATTGTTAGACTGCCCGCTACCGTTCAAATTACACCAGAGTTACCGACCGCTACCGCGTTTTATTCTGGAATTTAATCCCGCAGCTCAAAAAATCTGGTCGGGTCCCACGGGAGAGCTGCGAGAATGCAGACCTCTACCCTGAAGTCACTATGCTGTTGAATGCTAGTGGTCATTCCCATTGAACTCTGTGTTTGTTATGTTGAATTTAAACTTTGTGGTCTCATTTAGGGCTGCAACTAGGGTTTGGCGATATACCGGTAAACACGATTAACCTGTAGAAATTTGTCAACCGGTAGAGATTTTGGACTATCCTCTCTATTGCGGTTACACACTCACAAAACATACTTACAGTCGCTGATTCAGAAACGCCAGATTATCATAGCAAAGTCGGAATTGACCCTTTTTTTTTCTTTTTTTGTTTAGAAATGGCCTTTGTGCACAGCCAGCCTTGTACTCTTCTAGGTTCAAAAAACTGTCGTCCATAAAATGCGTTGCACAAATTCGAACATCTGGGTTGTGCTGTTCTGTTGTAAATAAATCTTAACCAATGATTCCTAAATGCATCTACTTCTGGAAGGCCAAATAAAGTGCTTTTGCTTTCGCACTGAAACACACAGCGTCTCCCTGCCATGCTGCATCAACACTACTGCTGTTCCTGAAACCACGCCGCCTTTCTTTGCATGCACATTTGGGTGGCATTATGCTAATATTTCCACATAGTGACGTAGATATGTGGGGG